ACAGACAGACAGACAAACAAACAAACAGAGACATACAAGGGCCTGAGACATGCAGTTGCAAAAGCACCTCCAGGAAAAAAGCATACATACATACATACATACCTACATACATACATACCTGCATACCTGCACCATGCCATACCATGCCATACCATACATACATACATACCATACCATACCATACCATAACATAAATACATACATACATACCTACCTACCGTACCCTACCCTAATCTAACATAGCATAACATTACACAGTATAAGTATATATCCTTCCCCGCATTACCTTCATATCGAAATCCCCAATTGGATCCCAGCTGGGTCCCGGGTTGGGGCATTAAAGGAGGCATTATATTGTATATAGCTTACCCAAGACTCTTCACAGGGAGCATCAGTGCTCGCATGGCTGCTTTTAGCTCATGGTAGCCGATTCCAGTGCCTCGTTCAAAGGAGGCGCAAAAACTTACAGACCAATCACCGTCTGAACTCTCATATTGATGGCGCCCCGTCTGTTTCAGAAGGTTCGTGTCACTCATAGGATTAGCGCTAGCCGCCTTCCACGTTCAATGCATCGAAGGCAGATTTGATCTCTCGTTCTCGCTCCTCGGCAGTAGCAGAACTCAGCCCGGCCGGTTGTCCTCATCCTAATGCCCGCACTGTCAATGCCATATTGTAAATAACAAATACAGTATATATACACTGTAAACATATATATTTAAATATAAATAAATATATATATATATATATCTGTGTGACGGGGCGTGTTTGCGTGCATTGTTGACAGTGCATAATGGGCTCAATGCAACCAAAACACCCGCTCCAGTCTCGAAAGGCCGGACTTTTTCCTCCAGTCCAAAGCCATTGCGCCGTGCTGCACCCGTCCAAATCCGCTCAAGTTCATGAAACATGACCTCTTCCAAACCCTGTATACAAGCATGTCTAGCTCGCCAAAGCTAAGCGGGATGGCGACGTCACTAAGCATTCGCATCTTGCCAGTGCTAGGCTGCTTGTCCAGTGTTTGATGCTTGCCTTGTCCAAACAAAAGAGAGCCACTGCCTCGAGTCTGCCTTCCCCCCTTTCCCTCCTTGTCTCACTTCAATCGCTTCAACTATGAAAAAGAAACCATCTAGAATAGCTAAACATAGTCACATAGTTAATTAAAAAAATTAAACAATACGCTAAATGGTTGTTCCAATTTCTTCCTACATTCCGAGCATGAGGCTGTCATGTAGACTGTTGATCGCAGAGTGGCCAAGCATGGCCTAGGCGAACTCGTGATTGCAGTTTGTTGCTTCAGATTGTTTCTGCATATAGACATGCCGCTACGACATCTGAGTGCTGAAATACAGCATTCTGTTAAAATCTCTTTGACTTCTCCACCAGCGCCTATCTGATGCTCAAAGCCTAAATCTTGCCATCCTTCCAGACAAGCTGCGGCCACCACCCCGCTACCTGTCGATCCAAACCGGCCGAACCATGACTAATAGACCGAGACTGGCCACTTGCGGGGCCTAGTGGATCCAGCCCCGGCCAAGCACCAAGAGCCTCCACATCGCAGAAACGGTGAAAACTTGCTGGGGGCATGAATAGAGTCATGTTATGTACATCGCATGAGCAAATGAAGATACATCTTACATCTGGAGGGCTCCGGCTGATCCAAGTTGTGAGGTCAGCGCCACACCAGCCTCCGAGAGCAAACGTCTATGGCAAGCCATGTGTGGCAAACGGCCTAATTCGCAAGGAAGTACTGTAGATAAAGACGCCCAGGCAGCTGCTGCTAAAGAGTCTGATCTGTGATGCCACGCTGTAGCTACCTCATCTTGCTTTGCCAAATGCTGACATCCCACCATGCGGCTGGTGTGATCCGAGCTAAACACTGCAAGCTTGGACCTGAAACTGAAACTCAACACTTTTCTACTATTGAAGGCTTGCCACCACAAATCACAACCTCCACATTCCACATGCTTTCTGGAGCAAGCGGCTGGGCTTGCTCGCCAGCATCAAGCGTTGCATGGTAAAGGGCCTGGTGGCGAAGCTCACAGAATCAGCAGAACGATCAAGCAATATCGAGCACGATGGAGGCGCTCCTCCTTCAAAACCATGGATGCCACACCTACAGATTGCTCTCCGACAAATTGGGGTGCAACTAGCTGGTGAAAACAACTCACAAGAAACAAGTGGAATGAGACACAAACCAAGGATTCAAGATCTGCAGCAAAGATGCCTACTGCAATCGCTGCACGGCGCAGTTGTCTGTTGAGGCCTTTCGCTGCAAAAATGATGCGTTGTCAACTGGAAGGCCGCTTCACAAACTTGCGCGACATTGGAAAGTACACTTCCGAGCTTCAATTGCAACGGCCACTTTTGACCTCGCAGGAATTCGCACGAAGCCTGCCGCTGCAGCTATGCGATCCTATGCGACCTTGTGGCTTTCTCAATGCCTTGTCCGCACTGAAGTTCGAGATGACTTCTGAGAAGAACCGGGAATCGCTGCAAGTTCCTGCTGCGAATCCGGGAAGTTCCTGCGTGGATCGCCGGGTGCTGCATTGGTCTCATCGGGTTGTCTTGCGAGGGCGCAAAACAGATTGCACAGCATCCAGAATATCAAGCAAGTCCTTGGAAAGCAAAGCAACTGGAGAGCTTGCAATCCCCCCAACTTCCAACCCATGTTTTTGATGCTACTGCATTGCTTGCCTTCTACTTCTGCACTTTGGAACTCTTAACGCCAGTCAAGATACCAGATTGTGCGACATCCAGGAGCACTTCCACAAAGCGATCAGCTATGCCAGGTGGAATGGTGTGGCCACCCTTGAACTCGTGATACTCCGCATTCAGCATCTGCATCCTAAACGGTGGGACATATAACAAGCCGGACAAACAGCATTCTCACTCTCGTCTCTTTTGAATCAAGGTTAAGCAGTTAAGCGGCTCATCGCGGCAAAACTCATGCATCCAGCGACCGCCGTTAACTCCTCGGTGGCAATCTGCATCGCCCCAAATGGCCCAAATATGAAAAACAAAAAGAGAAGCTACGGTACTACACGACATCGATCAAACGATGAAACGACCCACTGCAACCCGGAAGCCCACAGCAATGTCACCAGTGCCGTGGCTTTGTACCATAGGAATTGAACTCCACTCCTCGCAGGCCAATGTGTCCGCCATCGTGTGGAGGGAACAATTCTTGTAGAGTGTGCCATTGGATGGCATCGAAAAATGTTGGATGCCCATTAGGGCTAACGGCTAACGTTACAATATTCAATATGTGATTGAGAGAGAGTGGGCCATCTCTTGATCTAGCTACGAGCAAAGCATCTCCCACTCCTGCGCCTTCTTGAGACACTGCCTCCAGTGTTGCCTTTGGGCGATCAAGGGGCTCATGGAGGACTTTGCCCCGTGGCTGCAATGCTGCTTTCATGTGTGTGTGTGTCATGTTTTTTTGTGCCGCCACACCCAGTCTTCTACTGAGCCATGGCAGCCAGGAGCGCCTGCACATCAGTGAGCCGGAGAAAAAGCCCAAGGCTGCTGGTCGCTTTGGGAGGTGCAAGGCTACATCCATGGCAGCCGCTGCACCTGGAGATGGGTTCTTCTGCAAAGAATCGCTTTGTTCTGGTTCCGCACTGGGCACCTATGTCAATGTGAGGTGGTCTAGTGACTTTGGTGAGTTGCGACCCACATCCGCAAACTCTACAGAAGCAAGCAGCTATATAGAACTGCCGGCATCCCGAATGCCTACAGGGTTTTTGTGCACGGGTAGAACACTGAGGCCAAATTACATGTCTCATTGGTGTGCTATGCAAAAGTGGGAGGCAACAGTCCCCCGCAGTCAGCTGTCCATCCTTGCTTCAGTTTTCTTGCGGCTGAGAATGTTTGCGCTTGGTTGGCGAACGGTTACGCCTTGGCAAGCCCATTGGCAAACGGCCGCTGACGCGCCTCAGCCAAACACTTGGCCACATCAACGTGACCTCTTTTGGCTGCCAAAGTCACTGCTGTCTCCCCATTATCCAAAGCAGCATGAATGTCTGCACCCGCTTGCAACAACATGCTTGCAATCTCAAGCCGTCCATACTGAGCCGCAAGAAGCAATGGGGTGGAACCATCTTCCATTCGTTTGTTGTGATCCGCCCGAGCTTGGAGCAAGCTCTTTGCCACAGCAGTTTGGCCAAACTGGGATGCGATGCCTAAGGCGGTGAAGCCCATGTCAGCAGTTGCATCGGGGTTAATTCCAGCATCAAAAAGGCAAGGGAGCCAGCGTTGCCAACCCCTGACAGCAGCCCTGATCAATAAAGTCTCAGCGCTCTTCTTTGTTTCTTCAGCATTCCCAAACTGCAAGAGGCATTGAAGCACCTCTATGTGGTTTTGTTGTGCAGCGGTGAGCAGGTTGTGGCTCCTTTCACTCCCAGAAATCTCTTGGTCGGCACCCGCTTCCAGTAAAGCCCTGACAACTTCATAGTGCCCCTCAACAGATGCCACATACAAGGGCGTCTCACCATCACAGGTGGCAATGCGCGGATCAGCCTTACAGCTAAGCAAGCACTTGACGACGTCATAAAAGCCATGGTCCGCAGCAACCAACAAAGGTGTGGACTTCAAAATGTCAGCCTGATTCGGGTCAGCTGCTGCTTCAGCGAGGAAAGAAACCACTTCCTCATAGCCATTACTAGCAGCGGCATAGATCGGGGTTTCTAAGCTGTGATCTTGCTGGTTTAGGTTCGCTTTCGCACGCACTAGACACTGCACAACTTCGAGGTTGCCATTGGACGCCGCAAGGAACAATGGGCAAGTCCCCTCGCAGAGGCTGGTGGCTTCCAAGTCAGCACCTCAAAGACCATTCATCATGCGTAAATGGGACATTTATGGAATAGGCATGAATAGGCATGGGCATGTATAACTTCCATGAATTTCAACATGAGTTTGTTTGGGCTATTCGCCTGCTTCCAGCAGCAGCTGCACAACCTCCAAGCATCCAGTGGCACCAGCAATGCATATTGCAGGTGCGCCATACATATCCATGACGTTCCTTGGCTGGTGACTACCCCACGCAGCGACTACAGTGGCAGCCAGGTCAAATTTTCAGCAAACCTGGCATCTAACAATGACAAAACTCTAAGAATGTCTTACCTCCTTCCCCCAAGAATGCCTGGTAAAAAAAGAACCCGAACACATCACCTCCATGCTGGAAAAACGCGGCTCTTGCCCTCGAGTCAGCACGTCTTCAACGCTGCTAGGAGAACAAGAGCTTACGGCATTCAGCAGTTCAGAAGTGTAGCCAGTGACCTTGGCATTCAGTCTTTTAAGCCGCACGTGCAGCTGGAGAAAGAAAAAACATCTGGTAACCAGTGCATGCAACAGAACCTGACCGTACAGAACACCGTTGTATACAATTGAATCTATAAGAGTTAGGTGTGGTGAAGCACCAACGACCCGCTCAAAAGGCCTCAACATGTCTCAAGCTGCAAATCTGATTGCCTGCCTCTGGTTCTTGCCAGTCAGCTCACAACTTCGGAAGTGAAGGAACAAAAGCATGCATGCCAAAGCGGCAGCCCCCATGAAACGAAGCAAAGCTTATGATAAGCTTTAAACCCGTGCAAAAGCCTTTAAATGCCTTCATGTTTTTGGGTCTAGCCTTCTCAGCCCAGCACCGGTCGGAGTAAGGTCAGTTGAAGCTCCTTTGGCTCTCCCAGGCTCTGCCACGAGCGCCTCAAACGTGCTTCCGCAGCTACTTGAGCGGAAACGATTGTCCGATTGGCTTGATGCAGGTAGCCTGCTGAACAAACACGGGTTCTCAACCATGGAACTCTTGCATGATATGGATAGAAATGTGGCCAGCCTTCTTTCTACGCATTGGTGTCCCACCAGCAGTTGCTGCCGAAAGCGGCACATCCCTGTGGTTTGTGATATCTGCCACTGAAGCTTCGCTGCGAAATCATCGCCTTCCAGATCTGCCAAAACCCATTCGCTTTCCTGGGTGCAGCACCGGCTCTGACTGGACTTTGCACTGATGCGGACTGTTCCAAGCTGGGTTCAAACAGCTGCGCGGTGCGCGGCCAAGCTTCATAGATCAATTCGCCACTGATGGCCCACCGCACGGAGATGCGAGTAGTGGCATCACTCATTTGCTCATCACATGCAGGGCACAGTCGTAGTTCCAACTCTGTTTATGAGCGAGCTCCCGTGAAAAGCCTCTGGCTCTAGACCACCCACCAAGAGCCTTTGGTACTGGTTCTTGACTGTCTCTGAATGCTAGCTGCTAGCAGTGCCTAGCAGATTGAACTTGAAACATGTCTACTGCTCTCCCCCCTTTGAGCCAATCTGCAGCCCTGATACAGAGATAAAGTGGCTGCAGCCGCAGCTTCTGAATGACGGCCGGTGTGGGAAAGAGCAAAACAGAACATCTATGCCATGTGTAGAAGTCAGTGGCTTGCCTACACAACCTCCAACCCTGACTCTCTCTCTCTCTCATTTGAATCCGTCCCGGGCACCTTGAGAGAACCCTGCTAAAGCCACCCTCTCCAGGGGCATCTGCATGGATTCCCTTAGAGCCTCAATCCCCGCAAGGATCGCAGCTCTGGAAGTCTCCAAAAATGCTGGCTCGCCATCCTTCAGCAAATCCAAGGGGTTCCTAGGCAAGTTGCTGAGACGAAGTGAGTTACGCAACAACGTGTTCAACATTACGCAACTCTTGTGCATGCGATACTTGATGATATCGGACCTCTATGGCTCAGGCTCAAGAGTGCTAGTAGTCAAATGTGCTGTATTAGGTAATCATCGGCATTTTTAGCGGCAGCCTTAAATGAACTTTTGTTACACAATGAAGGGCAAGCCTCTTCTTCTGACCAGACTGAGGAGTGGTTTTGGAAGTGCCTTCACTCTTTTCGGGAGGACCTGTGCCATGTTGATCTTTGGCACGTTGGAGCAAGTCAATAACAGTTGCCGTGTCCGTACCTGCCAAACAACAAGGCCATGCACCAAGTTCGAACCCCCTAGAGGTGACAACCCCAAACTTCATACAAGCTCATACGTTCGCCCGGGATACGGTACCAAAAGTGGAGCTTGCCATCTCTGAGAGGACTAGCGGGTAACACCACTGCAATCCCCGCAGCTCGTAGAAGCTCAACCTTTGGACCGAAGAGCCGCTGTTCAATCTCAAAAGGCTGACCGCTTCCATGGAGAAAGAGAAGCACCAAATGGACGTCTCCTTGCAGGACGCATTCGGACACATGTGTACGAAAGATGCATAAGATGATGTGTCTAACAGGCGATGATGTGTGCGCGTGGCCGATAGCCAGGCCATGAAGATGCATGAAGGCAGTGCTGCTCGCGTTGCGAGTGAAAAGAGCGGGCCTCTTAAATATGCTGGTCCTGCAGGCACGAGGAGCTTGCATTGAAGGTCTGCAAAGCGAGCATCCTCCCATCGAACTGGACCTTGGGCCAAACTTCGGAGTGCCCAACTCCCCCCAAAAGGCAAACTATATACGTTACATAGCTGGCATGTCCCCTTTCAACCCATTGCTCCATCATTGACAGCAAAGGGTCTCACTTCTGAAGGATCTGCATCTTCCAAGGAGTCGAAGTCAAACATGCCATCAACCCTGTTGTGCCAAGGTTTTGGATAATGCTCAAGCTGAGCTCAGCCTCGACTGGTGTTCATCTCCGTCACACTCGAGCGCTGACTTGAGCCAAATCCAGGGAGGGAGTTATATATTATATATTTATAAGTGTTGTCAACTACAGGAAGGCTCACAACGGTGCCAAGTCTGTAGGGAAATTACTACAAATGATGAAAACAGTCAAATCTAAGTATGGAAGGGCCTGTCTCATGTTGGCACGGTGAGCTGTCCAGTCCTCGCAGAACCAATTTCGAACGCAAATCAAGTCCACAGCTCTTCTGAGGGCTAGGCTCTCTTCCTCTCTGTTAGCTGTGAGAACCTGCAATCGGCATGGGAACTCCTCAACAAATTGTTTGGAGATCCTAACTACATTACATATCTATATAGCTCAATGCTTTCAGTGGAACAGCTCGGCCGAGGACTCGTCTGAAGAAAAACTATCTGTACAGTACAAACAGTTGCCCGTGCACCTCTTTCTGCGTCTCCTTTCCTGCTGAAACATTCGCATCAATTTCGCATCACACTCCGCCAAAAGAACAGCAAGTCATCACAGCCTGGAGCTCTATGTCTTGCAAATGCTCTTCTGAGCATACGAGCGCCCCACCTCCAACCCCCAGTTTTATGCGTTGCCATGCAACAGCTCTCATGGAGTTCTAGAATCCAATGTCACACTTTTCAGAGAGCGCAACTCCAATCACAGTGGGTGTGATTGCAAGCAATCAACTGCAAATGGTCCTTTTCATTTCCCTCTTTAGTCAGTCCTGTAGCTGAGTCGTTGCATGAACGTCCTGCAATGCTGCTCACAGGAGGAAGCAAACAATGGGACCACTTACACCACTTGAGTGGGTCCTTGTTGGAAAGCCGCCAGCATGGGTCTAAGCGAAGTAATGCTGTCATAGCCTCAACTCAACTTCAACTTAGCTGGATACAACTAGACGACTGGTGCGGTACCCCAAGGTTCAACCAATCTCATATGACTGCCATCTTCAAGCCAAAGGCAGACTCTTGATTATTCAAAGAACCTGATTTGGTTGTAACACCTCTTCTTTTTTTTGCCTCTCGCGCACACGACGGGTTCGCCCGTCTGTACAGTGTCAACTGCATTCCACAGTTTGACAATCAGAAACCCTATGGACAGCAGCAAAGAAAAAGAACCGACACCAACCCAAATCATTGAAAGAATTCTCGAATCGCAAACTCCCATGCAGTGAGATTTGCTCGCACAACACGGCTTGCAATGGAAGTTAAACAAGTGAGATCATCATTACTCCTCCATGGTCGTGCTCCAGCAACGATTCCGCTCGGCATAGTTTTGCCCCAAGCATTGTGATCAATGCGATCGTGGGTGCCAGGGTGCAAGGGCAGGAGTCCCCTTCGGGGAAGTAGTCCAAACCATTTTTTGATACAGCAAATCAAACTCTTGAACGTGTAAAACTCATCCTGACAAGCATCAATGCGAAAACCTTGGCAGAGAAAGAGGATGGCAAGTTCAGCGTACGAGATTCGCGCAGTTTCATCAACCATCCATCTTAATCCTTGCAGAAAAGAAATAAACTGAAGCCAATCAGAGGGCGAAGAGTTCCACCCACGGCAAGGGATTTCAGTGAAAGCAACTGGCACCACCCAATCATAGTGAGTTGCTTCAGCATTCCAAGGCAGCAATGGAAAACATGATTCTGGACCAACAGTTTCAACCGGCTCATCATCGGACTCAGGCTCTTTGGGCGGGAGAGTGTTACCAACCAGTTTACAAAGCCCAGTCAACCATTGCTGCCTATGTAAGACAGCGTTGCAGAGTTCCTGATAGACTTCATGGTGTATCGGGGCATTTCGCAAGGCAGCCTTTTTGGCAATGACATCTGCGCGTCGGTTATTTCGAATGTCCAGCACGGTCGTGTTGTGCGCACCTGCAATTTCTGGCATTTTCTGGCGAAAGAAGAAAGTCAGGCACATCTTCAGCAACGTGTGCTGGAAACCAAACACAATCAAGAGGTTTGATGTCAATGGTCATCCGCGCTTTCACTAAGTGGTCAAGGAAACTCCACCACGGTTGAAGCGGCCATGTGGGATGGTGAACCCCTTCATGAAGCATACTCAGCACATGTTCGGACATGGTTTTACAGTCCGTTCGTACTTGGATGGGGCCAGAGGCTGCTGCGAAGGCAACAATGAGAGCCCAAAGCTCCGCCGCATAGCTCGAAAGGTTCCAATGGTGCACTGGTCCTTGGTGGAGCGTAGACCCATCATGATTGATGACTGAAAAACCAGCACAGGTGAGCAAAAAATGGTTGGGCCACTGAACTGAGCCATCAGTCCAAACCGTACACATTGGCTGGGTGGCATGCCATGTTTCAATGTGCAAGTCATGGGGGCTTGAAACTTTCAAACGATATGTCAGCACGGAACGTGGGTGTTCGACAATGCCAAGGAGTTCGAAATTCGGTCCAAGTTCATGAACAGGAGGCGGCTTAGAGATGGCATGCAATTCAGAACACTCCCTAACAAGGTGTGGTAGGGATTCCTTTGAGGAGCCACATAGCCTACACTCTGCATCAGGAATGCGTTTTGCTGCAGCTAGCCGATCTTTGGTCAAGACACAGCCTACCAGCTGGGCCTCAAAATAGGCACGATTTGGAATGTCCTCAAGTTCGGGCTCGACATGACGAAGAAGCGTTGTGGACAGCCAAAAATCTAAAACTCCAGTGGGGGCCCGGAGATCTTTCCTACTTTGATTACCCGCTAAGCTGTAGCACGCATGCCGAGCAAGTTGCTGAAGGACAGGCCGTATGTCGCGAGGACAAAGCTGATCCAAGCAGCAAAGTTCACTGCCAGCATGCTCAATGATGCCATCATTGCGCAAATGGAGGCCAAAGAAATGGAAAGCTTCTTGCAGTCTACCTGTGAGTGCATTCTTATGTTTATTAGGGAACTTGAGGAGATTGAAGAACCTGGCCCATTCATCCGGAAAAAGATGAAGATACCTGCAGACATCGAGAGTGGCATTGTATTGCCTAGCACACGAGGGTTCCACACGATGGGGTTTGCACAGGAAAGCAAAAACCAAGAATTTTGCTCGCCAATGTGGGCGATTATGCCAAAGTGTAGTGACAATTTCACCTTGTATGCGAGCAAGTGCACGTGCGGGAATGACATTAATGGCGGCATTATATGTGCACTGTGGGATCATGTTGGGTGGAAATTGGGAGGCAAGCAATGTTTTTGACATCGGCAATAATCTTCGCAACTTTTTCATCAGAAAAATGGCCAACAGTCCTAGAGCTCGTTTGGATGTGAACACCGAGCACTTCAAGTTCAAAGGCAAAATGCATGGAGGGAAAAAGCGTCTTAACGCATTTACGAGCATCAGTCGAGGTCCCCCAAATGGTACATTTGGCCCAATTCATAGCCTGGCCAACGAGATCATCCCACGTTTGTGTGATGCGAATGGCATGATAAAGGTCGTTCTTGTGGATGAGCCTGGTCCACAAGTAAGCGTCATCTACAAAAGCTTGGGCGGTGACTGTAGGAAGGACATCAAGCAAATGTATCCAGACCTTCATATGCACACTAATGGCAATTAATGAT